GGACAAGCTGCAAGCAGCCTGGCAGGGACCCTTTAAGGTAGTGGAACAGGTTAGCGAGACTACCTACATCGTGAGCAAATGCTCAGATGAAAGGCTGACCAAAGCCTTCCATGTGAACATGCTCAAACCATATTTTGAAAGGACAGAGGAGGTGGGCGCCGTGTGCGCCCCCGCCACAGAGGATAGTGAAGGGCTACCCCTCCCTGACTTACTGGATACCACCCCCTGTACTATTGACCAAGTAAGCTTGGGGCAAAATTTAGACCACCTGGAGAAAGGCGAGGCTACTCAACTGCTGCAGGGATACCGAGAGATGTTTTCCGCTACCCCCGGCTATACCTCCGCTGCGGTCCACCGTGTGGAAACCCAGGGAGAGACGCCCCTACGGCAACAGCCATATCGGATCCCGGAAGCAGTACGTGAGAGTATGCTCACCGAGTTAAGGGATATGTTAAGGCTAGGGGTAATAGAACCCTCCCAAAGTCCTTGGGCCTCCCCGGTGGTACTAGTACCGAAGCGCGACGGCACTACGCGCTTCTGTGTAGATTACCGGAGGCTTAACGACCGTACCATAACCGATGCCTACCCCATGCCTAGAATAGATGAGCTCTTAGATCGTATGGCGGGGGGGAACTACTTGACTACCCTGGACCTGTGCAAGGGTTATTGGCAGATCCCCCTGGAGCCTGCGGCCATCCCCAAGTCGGCGTTCGTCACCCCGTTTGGGCTATACCAATTCAAGGTTATGCCCTTTGGGATGAAGAACGCCCCGGCTACGTTTCAGCGGATGGCGGATGGGCTCCTGGAGGGATTGCAGGACTTCGCATGTGCGTATCTAGATGATATTGCCATCTATAGCCGCACATGGGGAGACCATCTGGGTCATGTGTCCAGGGTACTCGAACGAATCCACCTCGCCGGGCTCACTTTAAAACCCGACAAATGTCACGTAGGCCTAGCCGAGGTCCAGTATCTGGGTCACCGGGTCGGCTCCGGTAGACAACGCCCAGAGCCCGCTAAGGTAGAGGCCATAGCTAACTGGCCCCAACCCCGGACCAAAACCCAGGTACTGGCTTTCTTAGGGACGGCCGGGTATTACAGGAAGTTCGTCCCAGAATATAGCGCCCTGGCCAAGCCCCTCACGGACCTTACCAAAAAGGCCCTTCCCAAACAGGTCGCCTGGACCCCAGAGTGCACGGACGCTTTCCAGAAGCTCAAAGCGGCATTGAGTGAGGCCCCTGTGTTGGCAGCGCCCGATTACACTAAACAATTTCTTGTACACACAGATGCCTCCATGTTTGGGCTGGGAGCCGTACTAAGCCAGGTTGGGGCGGATGGCATGGAACACCCGGTGGCATACCTCAGCCGTAAACTTTTGCCCCGAGAAGTCAGCTATGCCACCGTAGAAAAAGAGTGCTTGGCCCTCGTGTGGGCCCTCAAGAAACTTCAGCCCTATCTGTATGGGCGAGCGTTTACCCTTATGACCGACCACAACCCCCTGGTATGGCTCAACCGGGTAGCTGGTGACAACCCCAGGCTACTCCGGTGGAGCCTAGCTCTCCAACCATACAATTTTACCATGCAGTACCGTCCGGGTAAACAAAATGGGAATGCGGATGGACTGTCCCGCCAGACCGAACTGGACACCTAAAACGTACTTTCATCGGACATCCCCAAGCCAACCCGACAGGGTCTAGGCGGGTATGCCGACCTATGGACTTATAGGGGAGCAGTGTGAAGAAATGACTCCGTTCATCAGGATTTCTACCTTTGTTGCACAAGTTAATTCACCCAATTCAGCTGGAATTCGGCATATAGCTATAATTTCTACCATTCGAATGGATTCAGGCGAATTCCCCGTGTAAACTCTAGGTGGCCGCCATTTCGGCACTTTACACGTGGTCGCGGCCATTTTACGTGCGAACAGCGGTGTTTGCCCGTCAAACGCGTGGAACTAAAATCGGATACGCAAACAGGCGAACACCGCTGAGACCTCCATACATCCAGAACTTCGCACGGAAAAAACCGAATCACCGGCCGTTCGGTAGTTACATGCAACTTCGTATGGGGATTTCAACGACCACGAAGATGCGAACGGATGGCAGGACTTTCGTCTTTTTTATTCGCCTAAACGGAGACCGACCGCAGGGCCAAAACTTATGGAACTATTTTCGGCTAGATGATCCGTGCGGTCGGTCAAAACTTTAGTGCTCCATAACTCCCGAACCATTCATCCGAATGGACTGATTTTTTGACATATTGTCCCCACCAGTGAGCACTATCCAGCGGTCCAATTTAAAGGTGTACCCCCTGTTTTTGGGGTACATCCAGAACTGGGGTAAAATAGTGCACGTTTTAATGAAGTTAACTGTTTATCAGAGGGGAGGGAGGTAGGGGCTGTAACCTGTACCTGATTGGTGATTTAATGCCTCCCCCTGGGTGTGTATTTTTTGTCTGTAACCCTAATAAAAAGCAGGCTGGAGATTCCAGACCTCAGATCTACTTGTATCCTGATTCTGGACTCTGACTGTTATTTGGGAATTCGTATGCTTTACCAAGGGGATTATCTTGGGAAGCTGTTATATTTCTTATGGACTTCATTGCTTGGAACTACCTTAGACGCTGGCATTGCAGGAGGAATTATCAAAGCGGTTCAGCTATACTTGATTTCCTTACACTGATCTCTTCTGAATTCAGTAAGTTCGGATTTAATTTCCATTGGCCCTTAGGACGTGGTAGTGATGGGATGGCTATTGAGAGGAAAATTGGGGAATGGTCCGACCATGTTATGTTGCCTATAGACAAATCCGTGATCAGACCTAGGTCCCTGTGTGTGGTAAGGAAGAAGTCTATACATGAATAAGTTTTGTTCGTGATCGAGTAGTGGGTATAGTCCTTTGTCGTCGGGTGGAATATCCTCCAACAGTCCGTCAGTTGGTTAGTGTGTAGTATGTGTTGCATTTGGTGTCCCGCCGTTGCCATGTGTGTGGTGTTGTTTGATGTGCTATCTTTAGTGGCGTCTAGAAAGATGTTAAAGGATACGATAAGCATAATTTCTCTCTACATTTTAAACTATTTCACAATAATGATCCACATCTTCTAGAATTTTTGGCTATACAAAAAGTGGAAGTAAATTGGAGAGGGGAAGATGAAGTTAAAAACTAGGCAAAATAGAAATGAAATGGATTTTTAATCTCAATGCCCTCACCCCTTTTTGTCTGAACGCAGATTTTGAGGTTTTTGTTTGCTCTATAGAAGAGTTTTTATGTATGGAAAATGTTTATATATTCATTTATTTATTTATTGTATATCTATTATTTTTATTATATTATTAGTGAACTTTAGTATTTTTTCTTTATTGATCCTGTTCTAAGAAGGTGGAACAGAACCTTTATAGTTATGTTAATGTATGGATACATATAGTATATGTAAAGTTGTATAAACTAAAATATAAAGCTCTCACTTATTTTAAATTTCAGTTACTATATATATTATATAGTTTCTATGTGTTTATAATTAATAGGATAAAGTAGAACAATAAAGGTTTAACCATTATATATATTCTTTATTGTTTATAAATATGTTTTGAGAGGATTGAAAACAAAGGACCTTTTTGATTCTGAGTGTAAACGAAACCATTTACTACCCGAGAGGATCGTGGGTATAGTAGTTTATATTACCGTTGAGGACGGAACTACCGGAAGGGAAGTGTATTTCAGGAATAGTAGTTTCAGAAACTAACCTGAAGTGACGCGACGGCGAAATCACGTATGTACAGGAGATCACCTGGGTCTCCACTACTAGATTACTAAACGAGTATGAAGGGCGGGAGTTCTGAAAGAGTAAAAACCGGACTTCGAGCAGGAAGGAATATGCCAATTGAAAAAGCCGACATAGAAGGGGAAACGTGTCTTGGTAAAAGCAAGAAGAAGGAGAGGACCAGTATATATTTTATATTCTGTATTTACCTAATTGTAATACTATTTTATTTTGTTTAGTTTATTATTTTTTATTATATGTTTGGTACTTAAAATAAATTTGATATACTTACCTACCTCCATCTCTACCTGCACTTTGGATCCGGTAAAAGGAAATGTCATCCTAAAATTTGACACAACACTATCATACTTAGAGCCATACTTAAAAGGCTCTAGAAAAGGTGAGCACTCTTTCTACTGTTATTTATAACAACCAGTCATCATTAATTCTGCACCCAGGGTTTTCTGCTTTCTTTCCTTTTGGTTATATGCAATTCGCTGAAGAAATAAGGGGAAGCAAGCCATATGAAAAAGGGGTATAGTTATCTACCTTAAAGGCACAGAAGCTGGAAGTGTTTGAGCCTATACCCATATAAAAGGCTCAAAAAATTTGAGTTTATTTCCACTCACTACACCAGAAAATTCTATTTACTGCCATACAGTATTATACTGTAACGAAATCCCTTATTAAACAGACCATGCAAACCAGCCTGTTCGGTTATTTGGATGATTACAGCGGGATTTCGTGCAAATAGCGAGAAAAGCGAATGAACTACCGAACCACCTGACCTCCCACTGAGGTCGTGTGGCGCCTATTAACCACCCAGACTGTTGCGGTTAACCACAGACTAATTGGGGAATAGCTGGTGGTCCGCGTTCGTTTACCGAACACGTGGCAATCGCCATTTTGGATTGTTGAACACTCAGCGGTAAATGGCGAGGATTCCCTGGAACTAATTTCGGCTACTTATTTTGTCGAACACCGCTGCTACCTCTTCAAATCCTTGTTCGTACGGTGGAAAAACACACGAATGAAGGAGATACTACTTCATTCGTGCGCTGGAAGTATGCGAAAGTGACCGACCCCAGATAGCTACAGTATGGAACTTGTAGTCGGCTACAAACACACGAACGGCTGGCGAAAGCCAAACTTCAGTCGACGTTTCTGAGAACTGTGTTCGTGGGATCTGAGCGCTATTCGCCTAGAATATGCACTCAGATCCAAGCTATCTGGGGATATGTGGGACTTAAAGTTTATGTTATGTAAAAGGAAAGTTATAGATTTTTATGCTGTTTTGCTAAAATAAGAAAAGCCATGTTTCTTTCTACCTGGAGATAATTAAGGCTCTCTTTGCTACCTTAAGTTAATTATCTCCAGGATGGAAAAGAGGGAGTGATTTATGTAAAAGGGGAGTGCTTGTGCTATAGCCACTGTGATTGGCTACTCTGATACTTTTGTCCCAGTCTTCCATCTGGTCCCCTAGGGGAGTGTCCACCAGGTGGGAGACCTGCATAAATACCGGGCGGGTAGCCCACAGTAAATCAGATCGTTTTACCCCTTCATGAAGTCTCGATTCATTTTTGGGGGATTGGGAGTTATAATCACTTTGTTTCAGCTGGATTTCGGGAGAAGCTGTAAGGATCATCGCTGCACGAATAGAAGGATCCTTTACACTGGTGGCAAGCGGTGGGATTTCCTCCCGAACGGACGTACCGAATCGAAACAAGTGGTGAATGGCGCATAGATACGAACGCTTGAAACGAACTACATTGAAGGAACTGCTGGAAGCTCGAGGCATAGTGGCAAGCAACAAACCGAAAGCCACGTTAATAGCCGAACTACTGGAGAGCGATCAAACCGGCGAACAACAAATGGCGAATGCAGAGGAAACAGAGTTCCAGATGGATGTGAGATGGAGACTCAGCCTGGTAGGACCTAACCCTGCACCAGAGATCGTGGTACAGATCTTGGCACAAGCTACAGAGACCCAGAATGCCAGGGAAGCCCGAGAAGCCAGAGACAGATCACCTCCTGTGGATATATTGTCGCTATCTGGATCTACAATGGGGCGTCAGTGGAAAATCAACTACGCTGCATTTAAAAGCCTCGTGGAAGGTGAGATGGATATTGATAATTACTTGCAAGATTTTGAGAGACAATGTGTGCTAGAAGATTTGGAAAGAGCTAACTGGGCTGCAGTATTAAGCAGCAAATTATCAGGTAGAGCAGCCGAAGCGTTGAGAGCTGTGCCAGATAGGGATACACAAAACTACGAAAAAATAAAAGAGATTTTGTTAGCTCGGTACGCTGTAACTCCTGAATTTCGGGCCCTCAGGAGGCAAGGCAAGGATTCGTATACTGAGTGGGCATTTCGTATGCAACGCGCTGCCAGTAATTAGATGCAGGGGAATCAGGCAACTACCCTAGAGGATGCTGTACAATTGATATTACTGGAGCAATTTTTTGATTATACACCAGTGGAGGTGAGAGACTGGGTCAGAGACAGAAAGCCAAAAACGGTGGACGGTGAACCGAGGATTCCAGGGCCAGTGGCCTGCATCTGGTCTGCCAGCTATGCCACAGAGGGTACCACCACCGGGGGGCAATACCACAACCCCGGGGTACCAAAAGACCGCTCCAATGTGTTATGGGTGCAAGCAAGTGTGGCACATCAAACCTAATTGCCCACAACGCACTACAGACCGCTGGGGGCGGACACCAGTACCACCAACCAAAGCAGCCGCACACTGTGTGCAAGAGGATTACAACTCTCTGACTCAAGAGACACCCAGTAACCACAGTGAGAATTGGGCCAACTTACATGAGGTGAACCCTGTGCAAGCGGCTGGGGATAACAGGGCGCACCATCAGCAGTCGGTAAAGCTAAATGGACAAGAGGCTCGGGGACTGAGAGATAGCGGGGCTACTATTACCTTGGTCCAGCCACACCGGGTCACCCCAACCCAGCACACAGGACGCACCATTGCTGTAACGGTGGCCGGAGGGGCAATTCATAAACTACCAACAGCCCGGGTACACATTGATTGGGGTACGGGGGCCAAGGCCGTGGAAGTTTGGCATCATGCCAGATTTGCCAGCGAAAGTGTTGCTGGGGAATGATTTAGGATGCCTGACGTCCCAATTGGCAGCCTGCAGTCCAGAAGGAGCACTACCTGTTACCTCCCGGCAGCAATCCAGAGCTATGGAGGGCTCCCCCTCAACCCATGACCAGGTAGGCAATAACCCACTGACGATTCACCCTGACCATACTTCTTACTGGGGTACCCCTTAAGACTTTGAGCAAGCTCAGCGGGAAGATCCCACCTTAAAGGGATATCAGAGGGAGGCCGAACAACCCCAGGGAGACGGAGATCAGGCAAGATTTAGCTGGGAAAAGGGTTTACTGTACAGAGTGACCGGGGGGACAGGGAAAGGAGCGGGTCAGGTAGAAAAAAGACAGTTAATAGTGCCCTGTAAGTATCGGGTAGAACTGTTATGGATTAGCCACGATATCCCCCTAGCAGGTCACTTAGGCATTAAAAAGACTAGAGACCGACTCACCCAATCATTTTTCTGGCCGGGGGTCACTAGGGATTTGCAGGATTATTGTAGGACCTGCAAGGTATGCCAAAAGGTAGGGAAGAGAGGGGATCACCCCAGGGCAAAACTACGTCCCCTACCCATCATTGAGGAACCATTTTTCCGAGTGGCAGTTGATTTAGTCGGACCACTCAGCAAACCCAGTCCATCCGGTAAGAAATACATTCTTACTGTGGTGGACTACGCTACCCGCTACCCCGAAGCTATAGCGCTGTCAAATATACATGCAGAGACGGTAGTGGAAGCACTGGTTCAGGTGTTTACTAGGGTGGGATTCCCTAGGGAGATAGTGTCGGATCAGGGAACCCAATTCACAGCGGTGGTTACCCAACAGCTCTGGCAGAGCTGTGGGGTAAAACCCATATTAAGTTCTCCCTATCACCCCCAAACCAATGGCCTCTGTGAACATTTTAACGGCACCCTTAAGCAAATGCTCATCACGTTCACAGAGACCTGTCGGAATTGGGAAAGATTCCTTCCCCATTTGCTCTTCGCCTGTAGGGAAGTTCCCCAGGAGTCCACCGGATTCTTCCCGTTCGAACTATTATACGGGAGACGGGTCCGGGGACCCCTGGATTTAGTACGGGAACATTGGGAAGGTGATAAGGAACAAGCGGGTACCCCTATAGTCTCATTTGTACTAGAGTTGAGGGACCAGCTACAGGCTCTGACCGAAACAGTTCGGGAGAACCTGCGGGCCGCCCAACAACGGCAGAAGTACTGGTACGACAAGGGAGCTAGAGACCGTATATTAGAAGTAGGACAAAAGGTCCTAGTGCTTAAGCCCATCAAAACGGATAAGTTACAAGCATCCTGGCAGGGCCCCTACACTGTAATAGAGCGGATCAGTGATACCACATACATTGTGGCAGACTGTTCCAATGAAAGGATCCGGCGGTCCTTCCATGTAAATATGCTCAAGCCATATCTCGAGACAACAGAGGAGGTTTCCGCGGTATGCGCTCCAGCGTATGAAGATAGTGAGGGTATCCCTTTACCAGATATGCTTCCTCAAGAACCTACAGGAGTAGACCAGGTACAGTTGGGTCCAGAATTAGGTCTCAAGGAGCAAGATCAGGCTTCCCAACTGTTAAAGGAGTTTGGGGACATGTTTTCAGCAGCCCTGGGGTATACGACCCTGGCAGTCCACAGAGTGGAGACCCCAGGCCAGTTACCCCTGCGGCAGCAGCCCTACCGAATCCCCGAAGCAGTATGGGAAAGCATGTTAAAGGAAATCCAGGACATGTTAGAACTGGGGGTCATAGAACCGTCCCAAAGCCCGTGGGCTTCCCCAGTAGTCCTGGTTCCTAAGAAAGACGGTACCACCAGGTTCTGTGTGGACTACTGTAAACTAAACGATCGGACCATTACCGACGCATACCCCATGCCCAGAGTAGACGAGCTTCTAGACCGTATGGCTGGGGGGAATTATTTGACTATTGATTTGTGCAAGGGATATTGGCAAATCCCCTTGGAGCCTGAGGCCATTCCAAAATCGGCATTTGTCACCCCATTTGGCCTATACCAGTTTAAGGTTATGCCATTTGGGATGAAGAATGCCCCAGCTACGTTCCAAAGGATGGCAGACCGGCTCCTAGAGGGATTTCAGGGCTTCGCTTGTGCTTACCTGGACGATATAGCTGTCTTCAGTGGCACTTGGGAAGCCCACCTGGAGCACATCTCAGTAGTGCTCAACCGAATTCAGAACGCAGGGCTCACCATGAAGCCAGAGAAATGCCACGTAGGCATGGTTGAAGTCCAATATTTAGGCCACAGAGTAGGGTCAGGAAGACAAAGACCATAGCCAGCTAAGATTGAGGCCATCACCCAGTGGCCCCAACCCCAGACTAAAACACAGGTCATGGCGTTCTTGGGCACCGCAGGTTATTACAGGAAATTTGTAGCGGAATACAGTGCCCTAGCCAAACCCCTGACAGACCTCACCAAAAAGTCCCTACCCCGACAAGTAGTCTGGTCCACTGAGTGTGAGGAGGCTTTCCAGAAACTCAAGGCTGCGTTAAGTGCATCTCCTGTGTTGGCGGCACCTGATCATACCAAAAGGTTTCTCGTTCACACAGATGCCTCAATGTTTGGACTGGGAGCAGTATTGAGCCAGGTGGGAGACGATGGCATGGATCACCCGGTGGCGTATCTGAGCAGAAAACTGTTACCATGCGAAGTCAGCTATGCCAACGTGGAAAAAGAGTGTCTGGCATTAGTTTGGGCACTTAAAAAACTACAACCTTACCTGTATAGACGCTCTTTCACAGTGCTGACTGACCACAACCCTTTGATTTGGCTTAACAGAGTAGCTGGCGATAACCCCAGACTACTCAAATGGAGCTTGGCACTGCAACCCTATAATTTTACAATGCAGTATCGCCCCGGGAAGCAGAATGCCAATGCAGATGGCCTGTCACGGCAAACTGAACTGGAGAAGTAATTATTTTGTTTGTTTTTCCTGTTTTACCGGACATCCCTTAGCCGACCCGTTAGGATCTAGGCAGGTATGCCGTTCCATGGGACTGAGGGGGAGCTGTGTAACGAAATCCCTTATTAAACAGACCATGCGAACCAGCCTGTTCGGTTATTTGGATGATTACAGCGGGAATTCGTGCAAATAGCGAGAAAAGCGAATGAACTACCGAACCACGCAACCTCCCACTGAGGTCGTGTGGCGCCTATTAACCACCCAGACTGTTGCGGTTAACCACAGACTAATTGGGGAATAGCTGGTGTTCCGTGTTCGTTTACCGAACACGTGGCAATCGCGATTTTGGATTGTCGAACACTCAGCAGTAAATGGCGAGGATTCCCTGGAACTAATTTCGGCTACTTATTTTTTCGAACACTGCTGCTACCTCTTCAAATCCTCGTTCGTACGGTGGAAAAACACACGAATGAAGGAGATACTACTTCATTCGTGCGCTGGAAGTATGCGAAAGTGACCGAGCCCAGATAACTACAGTATGGAACTTTTAGTCGGCTACAAACACACGAACGGCTGGCGAAAGCCAAACTTCAGTTGACGTTTCTGAGAACTGGGTTCGTGGGATCTGAGCGCTATTCGCCTAGAATATGCACTCAGATCCAAGCTATCTGGGGATATGTGGGACTTAAAGTTTATGTTATGTAAAAGGAAAGTTATAGATTTTTAAGCTGTTTTGCTAAAATAAGAAAAGCCATGTTTCTTTCTACCTGGAGATAATTAAGGCTCTCTTTGCTACCTTAAGTTAATTATCTCCAGGATGGAAAAGAGGGAGTGATTTATGTAAAAGGGGAGTGCTTGTGCTATAGCCACTGTGATAGGCTACTGTGATACTTTTGTCCCAGTCTTCCATCTGGTCCCCTAGGGGAGTGTCCACCAGGTGGGAGACCTGCATAAATACCGGGCGGGTAGCCCACAATAAATCAGATCGTTTTACCCCTTCATGAAGTCTCGACTCATGTTTGGGGTTTTGGGAGTTATAATCACTTTGTTTTAGCTGGATTTTGGGAGAAGCTGCAAGGATCATCGCTGCACGAATAGAAGGATCCTTTACATATACTATATTTTCTCTGCTTATTCTTTTTCATATATAACCCCCATATGATCTGAGGGATAAGTGTATATGCGTTTATATTATTGGTTTCTGTAATTACAATTATAGCGCCACACTCATGCTAAGTGTTGGGAAGGTGGTAACACTAACCAGGCTCTTAGTTGGTTATCTTTTTGGTGTTTATATTAATTAAAATACAATTAATGATATTAATGTATGCAAAAAATCTTTTTTTTTTTTTTTTTTATGTTTTAGTTAATGATTTGAAACTTCTCTTTCTTCATCTCCTTTCTTTGGATTTGTGCCTTCCCAAATTTAGTAGAGGACATTATGTTGAAATATAGAAGAGGGTTAAGAGGAGGAAAGAAGGAGAGCAAAAATGAAAAATTAATTTTAATTAGAACCTTTAAAATCAGGAAGTCTTTATAAAAAAAAATGTAATACATTAAAGAAATAGTAAAGAGAAAGTCCCTTACTCTTCCCTAGTCGTTGACTTATGCTCCCCCGCCATAAATCCTGATATATAAGATACACAGTAAGAATAGTGTAATGACTCTTTTTAGAGCCCATTGTAAGAATGTTTTATTCTTGTTAAATGTATGTTTTCTATGTATGTACTTGGTATTTATGATTTTGTAAATGCGTTTTAGTCACCGAGAACCCGAGGAAAAACAATTAGAATCATAAAATATGATCAAATTGGTAAATATAAATATACAAGGACTCAATATACCACAAAAAAAGATGGGCATTTCAAGACTATCTGAGAAAGGAAAGGATACAAGTGGCATTTATACATGAGACTCATTGGAGGCAGATAGATAAGAAGAGATGGAATAGTAAGGAATTCCCTTTACAAATGTGTGCATCTAGAATAACTAGGAAACAATGAGGGATAGCAATTCTTTTTTAAAAGTATGAAAAAAGTAAATGTTAAATTTATTGAACTATGCCCCCAGTAAATGTATACCTTCCCAATAAAAATCCTCTCAGTCTCCTGAGACAAGTATTAAAAAGATTAGAAAAAGTAGGAGTAGGCTTGTATATAATTGCAGATTTCAATTGTACTCATGATCCATTGCTAGACAAGTTTCCAAATAATAAAGTAAAACATGATTTAAAAAAATTCAAAAAGAAGCCAGAACCTTTAATAACATCATGAAAAAGGAAGCTTTATTCGATATATGTAGAATTAATAACCCTTTATCAAAATAATTTATATTTTATTCATGACCTCATGACTCAAATTCTAGGATAGATTTCTATTTGGGTAACTCAAAATTAATAGCGAGAACTCATAAAATAGAAATTAAACCAATACCATGGTCAGACGACAACAGTGTTATTCTAGAATTGAAAAAGAATAGAGGAGGTTACCCGAAAACAACATGGAGACTGGATGAATCTCTGCTGAATAATAAGGATCACTTGGAAAAAATGACTACATTTTATTTTGAAGAAAGTAAAAAGGGAGAGGTAGAAGAGGATATTATTTTGAGCTCTTATAAAGCAGTTATAAGGGAACATTGCATAAAGCTAAAGATATTAAGGGATATAAATTAGGAGCAAGTTTAGCAATACTCCATGTTGATTTATATAATTTAACTAAAGAAAATCATAATCAACCTTCTAAAGAAATGCAACAAAAAATACTTAATTTAAAAAAAAAAGCTTCAAAACAAAGCTATAGAGAGAATATATAAAAATATGGCAAAATTTAAAATAAAATACTATCATAAATATAACAGAGCTGATAAGATATTATCTAATTTACTAAAAAAAAAAAAGAAACTCAAGCAACATCATAGAAACAATTATATGAAACAATAAAGTATGCTTATTACCTGAGGAGATAGGGGAGGCTTTTAATCAGTATTATTCAAAACTATGTAATCTCCCAGAAAAAACTCCATTAGATGTAGTAAACGAATATTTTAATTCTGTGACTCTCCCTAAGCTTACATCAATACAAATAGCTTCAATAAATAAAGAAATATCAAAAGAAGAAACAATAAGAGCTATAGATAAGCTAGATAGGTACAAAACCCGATGGATTAAGGAATGGTTTTTATAAAGAGATTAAATATTTAATCATAGAACATTTAACCAACACTTTTAATAACACTATAGACAAAGTCAGATTTCCAAGTGAGATGTTAAAAGCGAACATCCTACCAATAATGAAACCCGAGAAAGATCCAACAAACGTAAAGATTTATCGTCCAATATCTCTTATACGTGTGTATACCAATTGGGCCGGCCTAAGGGGTGTGCTAGCTGTGCGGCTGCACAGGGTGTCATGGAGCAGGGGGCACCATGTGACCGACACAGCTCGTACATGGCAGGGTGACAGGAGTGCAAGGGGGGCACTAGAGCAGGTACCTGGGTAGAGGATTTAATTATTCTCCACCCGGGTCTATAAAAAAAAAAAAAAAAAGCTTGCTGGCATTTTGGATCTGGACTGCCCGTATGGATGGGACCAGTCTGATATGCTTCAGATATGTTCTCTCTGTAATGGCACAAGATGAGCTAAAACCAGCTTGAGTTCTGAGCGGGGACCCACCGAAGGGCAGGCTATTTCAGCTGCTGTCCATTCTCAGAATACTCTTGCGACCCGTTTTTTGCTCTCCCAAAAAAAAAATGCGTTGGTGGGGGCGAAGCTTATCTGTCTGTGTGTGTGTGTGTGTGTGTGTGTGTGACTATCTGTCTGTGTGTGTGACTATCTGTCTGTGTGAGTGTGCCTGCCTGCCTGTGTCTGACTGTCTGCCTACCTGTGTGTGTTTGTGTGTGACTGCCTGCCTGTGTGTGACTGCCTGTCTGAAGACTTTTCGCATAGGGCACCTAATGGCCTAAGCCCTGGATACCAAATTGTTTTCTTCTATTATAGCACAGAGATTAAAAAACTGTACTAAACTCCATAATTCATTCTGATCAGATATGTTTTCTCTCTGAAACAATGGTTAGTAATAATATTAGAAGGCTGATTGATGTAGTAGATTCAGCAGATAAAAATGGAGATCCCATGCTAATCCTGTCCCTCGATGCCAAAAAGGCGTTTGACAGGGTTAGCTGGGATTTCATGGAATCTACTCTTAAAGCATTTGGGTTGTCAGGCTGGATATCAACTGCAATTCTATCATTATATAAAGCACCAACGGCAAGGAGAATAGGCCACAACATATGTGCAAATTGGTTTGAATTAAGAAATGGTACGAGACAAGGCTGTCCCCAATCCCCTCTCGTGTATATACTAACTATTGAACTATTAGCATTAAGACTTAGACAAAATAATATGATAAAAGGTCATTCTACAACACAAAGCGAGTTAAAGCTCTCACTTTATGCAGACAATGTTATCCTTTTTTTTTATCTAATCAACATCACTGTCATATATACCATGGAAGAATTAGACATACACCCTGTTCCAAATTATTATGCAAATTATATTTTTCTCATTTATCTAAATAATTTATGTAAATAACAGTCAGCATAATTCTCATGTTATCAACTATTAAGAGTAGAATTCAAATTTTATTGAACAAACCTGCTAATGATAACAGTATTTTTTTAAACATAAAAAACTTACAATGCACTGTTCCAAATTATTACACATAGTAAGTTTCAAAACACTTTATAGGTTGTAAAGAACTGAAAATTGTCATTTGTTGTGTTTGCAGCATATTTACTGAAATCAAAAGCTATTTCAATCAAACTTATAACAACATTTTAACTTTTTAAACATTTTAACAGGTCACGTTACATTTTAACATAGGACCCCTTATTTGATAGCAGCTTCACAAGTCTTGCATCCATTGAACTTGTGAGTTTTTGGACAGTTTCTGCTTGAATTTGTTTGCAAGATGTCAGAATAGCCTCCCAGAGCTGCTGTTTGGATGTAAACTGCCTCCCACCCTCATAGATCTTTTGCTTGAGGATGCTCCAAAGGTTCTCAATAGAATTGAGTCAGGCCACACCATGACTTTCTCTCCTTTTATCCACATAGCAGCCATTGATGCAGAGGTATTCTTTGCAGCATGAGGTGGTGCATTGTCATGCATGAAGATGATTTTATTACGGAAAGCATTGTTCTTCCTTCTGAACCAGGGAAGAAAGTGGTCAGTCAGAAACTCCACATACTTTGCAGAGGTCATCTTTACACCTTCGGGGACACTAAAGGGGCCAACCAGCTCTCTTCTCATGATTCCGGCCCAAAACATGACTCTACCACCGCCTTGCTGATGTCACAGCCTTGTTGGAACAGGGTGGCCGTCCACCAACCATCCACTACTCCATCCATCTTGACCATCCAGGGTTGTGCGGCACTCATCAGTGAACAGGACTGTTTGAAAATTAGTCTTCATGTATTTTTCTGCCCAATGCAGCCCTTTCTGCTTGTGAGCATTGGTTAGTGGTGGGCGAATAGAAGGTTTATGCACAGTTGCAAGACTCTGGAGGACTCTACACCTTGATGTCCATGTGACTCCAGAGGCACCAGCAGCTTAAAATATCTGTTTGCTGCTATGTAATGATATTTTAGCAGCTGCTCTCTTGATCCGATGCATGGATCTGGCAGAAATCTTCCTCAGTGTGCCTTTATCTGCACGAACCCGTCTGTGCTCTGAATCAGCCGCAAATCTCTTAATAGTGCGATGATCACGCTTAAGTTTTCGTGAAATATCTAATGTTTTCATACTTCATCCAAGGCATTGAACTATTTCACCCTTTTCAGCAGCAGAGAGATCATTTTTCTCCCCCATATTGCATGTAAATGGTGCTCTGCTTAATAATGTGGAACACCCTCCTTTAGAAGTTTTTCCTTAAATTGGGCTCACCTGGCAATCTAATTATCACAGGTGTCCGAGATTGTTTTCAGTGATCAAAAGAGCCCTGAGACATAATGCCATCCATGAGTTAAACTGAAAAACAAAATATTTAATCTTTGTGATACTTAAATAGAATTTGCATAATAATTTGGAACAGGGTGTATATAGCAAAATATCAAATTACAAAGTGAATAATTTAAAATATACTGCTGTATATATTAATATTTCTTAAAAGGATATAATAGGTTATCAAAAACAATATGGTTTTCTACACCCCAAGATATTTACATATTTGGGGGTAAAGATATGCAAAAATGTAAAAAGATTAATGTATGTACATTTTATGGAACTTCTAAAAGAAACAAATAAAAACCTAAAAGAATGGTGTCGTTTGGAGGTCTCCTGGTGCGGGCGGACAAATATCCTGAAGTCATATGTACTCCCGAAATGGATATATAAGTTCAGGATGTTGCCACTGGCTGTTCCCACACCATGGTTGACAATGCTGAAGTCTGCCTTCTCAAACTTTGTTTGGAGAGGGAAAAAACAAGAATTAAGAACTCTATATTGGCAAATAAAATTGGGGAAGGGGGAATGGGATTCCCAGACATAGTAAAATACTATGAGGCGGGCATAGCCATGCATATAATGATTATTCAATTACAGCAAAGTAAATTAGAGACATGGTATAGTATAGAAATGGAAGTCATTCAGATCAAAAACTCATTAGATTTAATATGGAACACAAAAAATCTAATGTTTTTTATATTAAATCAAATAATGCCTATATGGATAAAATTGAATAAGAGACTGAGATTGGAAAAGAAAATATATATATTTTTTAATATTGATGTATTAGAAAGAGCAATAAATAATATTTCTTTAAAATTCTGGAAATTTAGACATATAGATACTGTAAAAGATCTATTCTTAAACGATAAGATAAAATCTTTCAATCTTTTAAGGAGAGTGTTTCAGTTGACAAACAATGAGTCCTTCTCTTATATTATTATTATTTTATAGTACGTTTTGGATCAAACCTCAATAGTATCAAATGGTCATTTATATAACATTAGGAAAGGTATACTAAAAGGTAATAGATCAAAACATCTGTTCTCCCAATGTGTAAGATTGATGGAAGAGAATAAAAAAAATATAACACCTCCCGCAATAAAAAAAAAAAAAAATGGACTGACGGTGGGACCTGGCTACCAACCTGAGTGGTCGCATGCAGAGCTTGCTCCATGCGAAAAGCTGCTGAAGTGCCTTAATCTAAACTTTTGCCTCACCAACCCCAGCCATCTGGAAGCTGGCAATACTCTGCATCCATTTGTGCATCGCTTTGCAGTTTCTCCGACGCACAATGACTTGTGGGTGCTGGCGTGGAGGATGCAGCCAATCTTCTTGCTGGCTATCCTACTGGAATAAGTGGACATAGTAAGGGTTCCCATTTACCTTCCCCCCCTTATCCCGACCTCAGCAATCATACCCTACTCACCAGTCCCTGGTGGCCCTGCGACTCAGCACACGTTCCTGCTTGTTGATTCAGCAGGATCCAAGATGGCAGGCATAAGACCTCACACCATGCCACAGGGCCCGATAGAATCCACTCTCACAAGGCTGGATGCAATCTTCATGGAAATCTGGCGCAGGCTTGAAGAGAGGCGACTGGGTGTAAGCAAGCAATACTACTCACCCCCTGCAGCTGAGGGCTCCATGCCTGATCCAAAGCGCCAAAGCAAGCCCATACCTAAGCACCGGAACAAACAAGCCTGGACATCCACTGCAGGTCTGCGCCCTAAGTTGCCCAGGACCCGTTACTGTATTCCCAGACTGAAGGCCTTTGGGGGTATAACCACACAGCAAATCCCACATGCTTGGAGAATATACCAACGCTGCCACTCTGTGAACACAGCCATCCGAGATACAGCTTATGGTGCTACAAGAAACCGGAACAATGGGAACTGTATGCTGGCTCTTACTAAGGCCTGGGTTCAGCGGAGGAGCTGAGGTTGATGGGACTCAGTGGGTATCGGGTAAACCCAACAAAAGCATAGCCGCACGTGGTGCATGAAGTTGCTTGACTCCTCGGGTGCATCCTATCATGTGCCATACTTAATATGTAATAATAGTTCACTCACCTGAGGCAACAACAACACTACTGATCATAGCCTAGTGTCAGTTTGAATTTTATTTTGTGTGGAGAGATGCTGTTTGCTAATGAACAGCTGGGTATAATCTTTCATGTTTAACTTCTTAATCTTATCTTTGTATAATCCTGTACACCCTTCAGTTATCTTCTTCCTGTTTCTCGTGACTCTTAAATTACCTTAAAATGAGACCTTTACATTCTAAGTATGCAATGCTGAGCTTTTCAAATGTATGACCATAATCTACATTCAAACCTATCTTGTACCTGTTACATGGTTGTTCTATGTCTATGCATCGCTGCTATTACTGCTATACAATCTGTATTTACACCTTGTGTCTCAATAAAAAAGGGATTAACACAAAAAATGGACTTGTGATTTAAAGATTAATATTATAATATATAATTGATTTAAAGTACATCTATGGTATACAACCCCAACAAGATTATTAAAATTCACATATGGAGTAAATGAAAACTTTTGGAGATGTGGGGCAAAAAATGGGAATTATATCTATATGTGGTGGTCCTGTAAAAGAGTGTTGAGTATTTGGATATGGGTTCAAAAAATAATATTCAATTTATGTAAAGTTAAAATTCCTATAACTCCGGAGATCATGTTACTACATTTAAACTGGCCTAATTTAAAAGGTCGGAACAATTTCTAATAATTCAAAACCTAATTGTTGGTAAAATTTTTGTGGCTAGAAATTGGAAGAATGAGATATTGTTTTTTTCTCAAATACGCTCACAACTAATTTTTAAGCTAAGAATGGAAATTAATTATACTAAATATCCAAATAAAGCTTCTGACTTATGGGATATATGGGAAAAGGAAATCGGAAAAATGGCTAATACATGTATCGTAGATAAATAACATATAAAGTTCAATTGATGAGTTGGGGACTCTCGGTGACTGAACGAATTAAGATGTTGGTTCTTTTGTTGTTTTTTTTATGTACAAGAAAGAATCTTCTAGATATAAATAGCTAAATCAAATAGTATTGGTAACCCTTCTTGGAAGTACCAGATTTTTTCTGAGGTATGAATTTTTGTGTAAATGTATCTTGTATTTTTATTTTATTGTTTTTGATATATGCAATATTTAATAAAAAGTAAAGGGAAGGAAAAGAAAAGGAAGGGAGAACAGGAAAAGAAAAGGAGAAAAAAAGGGAAAGAAAAGAGAAATTAAATAGTAATTAGGGCTGTGCATGGGCAAAAAATTTGTTTCAGTTCGGCACTTCTGAAATTTGGGACTTCGGCAATTCTGGACTTCAGCAATTACCTAAGCCTAATCCTACCCCTACCTCTAACCTTACCTCTAACGGTACCTCTAACCTAACCCCCAACCCTACCCCTAACTCTACCCCTAACCTAACCTATCCCTACCCCTAACCTTACCCCAACCCTACCCCTAACCTTACCCCAACCCTACCCCTAACCTAACCCCAACCCTACCCCCAGTCCTAACCCTACTACCACCTTTAACCCCAACCCTAACCCCAACCCTACCCCTAGTAGGTGTAGGGTTGGGGTTAGCGGTAGAGTTAGGGTGAGATTCCTGTCATCATTTCCTTAATTATCCTTCCCTCTCCTGTTTTGCCACTTTTCAGAAATTCGAAGCACTTACAAAATGCATTACTTCGGCAATTCGGTTGGGCTCTTCCGAAATTCATCTCTTCTGCAATTCGGTTCGGATCAGCAATGCGGACATTCGGAAGCATCCAAATGTCCGAATTAACGAAATTCATCCGAATTTAAATTCGGACCGAAATGAATTGCACATATCTAATAGTAATACAGTAATATTTTAAACTTGGGATAGCCTTCTTGACAGATGTTTTGTATGTTAGAATATTTGTGGACTGGAAACAGCAACATATATGGAATTCAATCCTTCTTTACAATTTTATGTGTTGTTTGCATTTTTCTATTTAATGTGTTTTTGTATTGAATGAAAATCAATAAAAATATAATTTAAAAAAAAAAAGATAGCAGGGCCTACTCCACCGCCTTTCTTAGGTACTAGGAAAAGGGTACTTGTAAATCCTATAGATTTGTATGGCATTTTTTACTAATAAACCCAAGATCTCTGCCGAGATCAATTTTCCCTTGGGCAGGGAAGGTTCTTGAGGGGAATGAACCTGAAATAGGGGGAAATCAGGTCTAAGTGAAATCCACTGACAGTTTGCAGAACCCATGCATCTGAAGTCAGTAAATCCCATGCCTGCATAAACAGTGCCGACCTGCCCCCTACGCCAGAGAGGGAAGAATGGAAATTTATTGTATTCACCATAAAAGCGTGGTCCCGATGAGTTTCCTCGGGAACCACGAGACGACCAAGGTCTTCCCTGAGAAGGGAAGAAGGGTGACGGCTTAAACTCTTGGAATGCTCGGTGTTTTGTGAAGGAGTGACCCTTGATGTCACCTGTAGCCTTGGCCAGGTGGACGGCTTCTTGATCTCTCATCCCCAGTGAAAACCCGAGGGTTAAAGACTCTTTTGATATTGGCATGAGCCTTATCCAGTGCTGTGAACGTCTTAACGAAGGAGCCTAGGCCCTTGATGAAGGACTCCCCGAAAAGCATGCTTTGGCTGAAGGGCAACGTTCCGTAACGGCCATGTTAATACATTTTGTCCCACTCTTGAGAAAAATTGCCTTACGGCGCTCCATAGACAAAACCGCGTTGGCATTGCCCAGGAGGCATATAAGCCTGCCCAGCCAATAGCTATGTCAAAATCCAGGACCAATTCCCCTGACTTAGCGGATTCCAGGAGTTCATAAAGTTTAGATGCTGGGCCCAGCGTTTAAAAAAAAAGAAATTGGCACAATTGTGTAAGGAAAATTCAAACCCTTTACTGGGCTTCCAGCCTGTTGACAGGAACTGGTTTATCTGGGGATCAACTACTGAAGTCTTACATGCAGCATGGGGCACCAAAGGTCTCAGGCATTCAGCCAATAGCTTGCTGCGCCCCTCTTTGGAAAGGGGTGAGCGCATACGAAGCGCCAAATATTGGGTGATGTGTTTGGGAGGCTCCCACTCCACCGAGCACGGATGGCACAGATCATCCGGGTCAAACAGGAAAGTACCCTGCAGATCCCAGAGACTCACTTCTACCCCCACTGATGGAGCGCCAGCGCCCCGAGACACTGTTATGGGCAAATGCAAATATTACAAGTTTTAGAATGAAATGTTGTATTTCTTAAACTGTATACTTTGTCTATAAGAGACATTGTAAACTGACAAGGTGTTAGAAATGAAACATATTATTTTTCATATAAGTGTCTTTAAGCAATGACCTGTTACCTACTTTCAGTGCATTTTTTATTTATGCCAATTTGTCTCAGCTTAATACAAAACAAGTAATGCACTAATATCTTCAAGGCTATGCTACGCCATCCTGACTGGGATAATGGAAATTTAGTATAAACAATAAATAAGATGTCTAGGTCATACCAAATAAACAATAGATAAATAGTTCAGACTTTAGGATGCCATCTTGTCATAAGTCAGGGGATTTTCCATGACGTGTGCACCCTTACGTTATGGCCTTGTATTTTTGCCAAGTTAAGGGAGGTCCTAAAATAAATAAAGTAGAAGAAGTGTTACTTTTTCATATATGAACTATGGTAACCCTAAAATGAAGACACCTAAGGTATAAATAGGTGTACTTGACAGAGAGGCTGACATGATGACATGTTCAAGAGGGTTAATCTATTAAGGATATTTGCAAGCATTTAGAAAGGAGACTAGGAGTAGCAACTAGTTATACTGAGAATGACAGGAGTAAACATACAGGGTTGATTAACCCAAGAATAAAACGTAACCTATATACAGAGAATAACCAGGGAACAGAAGGAGCTGTCATCGAAGGAGACCACAGCAGGGAACAGGCTTTGTGTGAGTATGTCCCTCCTTTACGCGCTTTCCGTTGAGGAAAGTGTGCCAAACCCGACAGGCTCCACCCCCCCCCGGAATGACCGCTAAACAGCCAGCAGGTGCAGAAGCGTTAGGCTCCCTCACGCGGCAGACCCAGTTTCTATCAGCCCTCTTCCCCCCTAACTCTTTCCCTTCAAGGCAGCCCGCTTGCCGCGACCTGTTGGTACATGGGGAGGTTTGGTTTGGTTTTGTGGCTGTGCGGCAGCTGGATTCATTGCAACTGTTTACCGCCGCACAGCCACAAAACCAAACCAAACCTCCCCACGTACCAATGGGTTGCAGCAAGCGGCCCGCCATGCAGGGAAAGAGGGAGGGGGAAGAGGGATCGTAGAAAGGCTGAGCCTGTTCCCCAGAGGTCTGGATATCCGTGGCTTAGCCTAAAAGAGGAGACAAACACAGGAGGGAAGGTGTACCTCCGGGTAGGATACAAACAGAGATATATATGATAAGAAAGAAATAATTCCAATACAGTGAATATGAACAACACTGAAGTGATTAGAGAGTAATTAGCTGTTCTGAGACAGCAGCAAAGAAAGAGGAAGAGCTCTTTGTACTACTTCATGATTGGCTTCCCTGTTTCTAGGCAGTTTTTTGTTTATATGTATATATTTATTTGAGTACAAAATGTTTTTCTCTCATTCTGTACTACT